TACGAAGCTGCTTGCTATTATAATTGTAGGATTTCACAAACGGTTCATTACATTTGGTGCGATCAAATAGGTCTAACCTTATTATCAGATACTCCAAGATGGTAAAAAGCAAATGATCCAATTCAAGTTTGATGCCAACTATGGATGGCACTTCAAAGTGTTGATTCTAAGTCGCAAAAGCTGGAGAACAATGGCTCATTACTGGGTCAAACGCTAATCGATCAGCAAAATACCATGTGCCTCATACAGTGCACCTTTACGTGTGCATGACTCTCATAGGAACACACCGCCACGTTCTTTTACTTGATTAATTGCGCACGCGATTAACAGAAAAAGACACTCTGGTTTGTTCTAACCAGGGTAAGGTTTCCGATACACATAGGAAGAAACTACAACCACACTAGATATGATCCCAACTGTATTGGTCTCAAATGCCGGTATCTCGGGATCAGTAAGCCACCGGAATAAAAAACGGTGTGAAATTGTTCGTGGTGAAGTTCATCAAATTTTCGCATATTTGTTCGGGAATAAATAACTCTATCCTTTTTTGTGACTGATTGAGCTAGAATTTCAAAGTAACTTGTTGTAGGATGTATTATCTCGTGACATATTTCACTCGACTGAGAGCTGTTGCGCAACAGAAAGGAAAACAATCAAATAACTGTCAGGAAATGCGCCCACCGAATAATCAATCAGCATGAACTGCTTCGGTTGATCACAAAACGTCTTCTGATTTCACCCGATAGTCTGTGCTGACTTACTCACTGCGATTGCCAATTTGATGGGAGATCGACACAAAATCAGGTGAATCGCGTGTTCCATCGAATATTATAGCAAAATGACACCCTAAAGATTCCAAGTGCGAATGAGCAGTGGCACGTAATTTGATCGTATGATATTAAGATTTTCTGCCTGTTATCCTCAGTAGGAGAATATTAATCACTGATAATCAGGTTACATTTGTGGAAGACGGACAACCGAATTAAACTTTCTTTTACTTCCTATTATTGAAAACATACAGTTATACAAGTAAGTTTCAAGAAGAGGGATGAAGCTACACAAAGGGCTGACACTTTGATCCACAGTTGCGATCATTAGCTCAGAGAAATGACTGACTTTAATTCCAGATCGCATACCTGGTAATATTTTACCTGTGATGTCGTAAAACGAATTGAATTAGAGTGTTTTCGTCGAANAATTTATCTGGTCTCTCCATCATCTAATGTGAACCTCCGATCACCATATTTGTTTGTAGATGTTGTCTACTCAACCGATTGCCACTCTGCATCGGCATATCGATCAGATGGGTATATCCACATGGGCACCGATCGATCCGGAATACCCACTACACTATTGTGCGTTTTTCGGTCTAAAANACGAATTGAACAAGCAGGATAACTATGGTAGGCTAATGTACAGCCTGTGATCATTCTCTTTTTGGATTGCAGGTAACACCGCATTACACATAGCTGTAATGCTTGGTCATCGAGGTAAATCCGAATTCCGGCCATAGCTTACCAATGCTTTGATCACCTTGTTTTCAGAATGCATTGAACTTCTTCTAGCAGCTCATTGTGATGTGTCTATACGCAATAAAGAAGGTTGGAACCCCTTGTCGGAAGCGATCAGTTATGGCAGTAAATCAATAAGTACGCTAATGATTCCAAAGTTGATTTGAAAATCCTCTCACTTCCTAGCAACCGAATTGTATAAACGTTTGCGTAGTAAAATGGTTGATCGAGAAAAACTCCGCCAATTCGATCAAGCTTTACAATCCATTCCGGATTGTCGTATGGACTTTCAGTGGGAAATTGTCAGTTGGAGTAAGTCAGATGACTTAATCTTCGTGTTCCTATAATTCAGCGAAAAGTGCAAAACAGTAACCACCCCATATTTGTATTGATCAGTGTTGTAGATCAAGTATATCCAAACTGTCACCATGAGCAAGTTGTACTTACTACACTGAACAAATCGATAACTGATTCGAAGAGGAAAATATTGATTTATGAAGTATGATGATTGTTCCAATCAAATGTTGTCTCGTTAACCAGGTTTGAGAATAACAACAACAACAACAACAGTCAACCAAAAATATCGAACCATGCATATCCAGTGAAATTGCAATCTCTATCACCCAAGAGCCTATGGTGCTCAGGTTCAAAAGTACACAAGTGTGTGTTTCTTTATTTGTAGAACAGAGCTGGTGTGCTGCCCGTATCTTATTAAGAACACACTAAAAGACCTTGCACGAGGTAGTCCATTACCGTTTGACTAATTCAGACAGATGAGGGGATTATGAAAAACGCAACGTGCTTCAAATTTTTTCTGTGTTTGGCATACTATTGAATAAACAGCGGTTAGCTGAGTGACCTAAAATCTGTTCGCGATAGTGCTCAACGGATCAAACAGCTGTGAATTTTGGCGATTCGTGATAAGAACCTGTAAGTACGAAACTGTTCTAAAAGCCTCTCAGACATGAGCAGGGAGGCAAAAATCGTGTAACTATATTTAACCTATTTGTTATCCACAAGATTCGCTGGGGAAAGCACTATCGATACCCCGTTTCATACTCCTTCCTTGTAATGTTTCTGATTACATCTAGCCGACTTAAATATCATTTTTATGTCGAACCTAATTGGAGAGCAGGATAAATACTTTGAAAAATCCCATGAACTTCAGTTTACAAAGAGAAGATGGATATCTAATCAAAAAGGTCAGGTGCACAAAGATAGAAAATTCTAACGAAGCAACCTGTGGATAGATATGACTGAAACTGCTTTATTATTGTACACTAATGTTGGGACACGTTATAGGGTAGAAAATTTGATGCTGATTTAGATAAAGCACAATCTTACGCGTGTTTGATGGGTCGCGTGACACAAAGCTCGGAAACTGCTAATGTAAAAGGACAATACTGCCCGTTGACAAACGTCTCAGTTTTATTCACTACATGCCTTGAAGATAATCATAAAACCTTGTAGCATTTAATTTTTTGTCTTTTTCAATTAATCCTTGATGCGGTCTAGACTAACACATGGGTGTCGGCCTTTTCTCTCTACATCATATGTTCTACCGGCTGAATCTTTACAACATCATATCCACAAGACCTCATGGACATATCAGACAGCGTTCGAGCTGGCTGTCAAGGCATGCCTTCACAAGCCCCAGCTGGTGTCCACTGGATAAATTCTAGGCAAGGTAAAACGCAGCAAACACAACAGTCCCTTGATGGAAATGAACTAGAAAAAAAAAACAGATTTAAGCAATGTATTGCGGATCATTTGATAGCATCTGTATACATGCAAAATGCAGTTTCAGTGATCAATAATATATCGCCTAAACTACACACTCTTAGATCGAGAAATATTAGCCAACGTCGCTTACCAAAAATATTTGTTAACAAATTAGTGCCACAGTGATAAGCCATTCACGCTGTTTACACAGTTGGCAATGGTAATTTTGAATGGATAGTCTGTCGGCGTATTTGAGTTACCTGGTATTGTATAGGATTCTGAATGCGTCAATTAGCTTGATACAGTGCTTTTTTCTATCAGGTGTTGTATGACGGATGAACTGGGTTTTCTGCGTGTTTGTGATGACTTTTATGCTTCCGAATTTACTTCTGATTGTTTTCTTAACTCAGACAGTGGTGTTGTGGGTTTCTGGATAAACCAGTTAGCTCCATGTCCTACCGATATAGATAACCATGAAACTAACTTTGAATTGGCATATGGAGTTGGATTTGGCGGTTTTTTTACCGAAGGTTTCGATGACCTTGAGATTATGAAAACAACGACGGGTTCAGCTAAATGATGGGTGCGTTTAACGACCGAGTTTAAACACTTGGTCATCAGTCCGTTGATACGTAGCCTTTGGGTGGTAGGCCCACTCCCATTCAAGGTGCATCTTGTATCTCTTTCTTTCAGTTTTGTGTTTTAAAATTAACTCTCTTTCTCGAATATCCGTTGGACTGTGATATTAGACCATTTTCAAGTGAAATATAAATGTTATGTAAGCTCTGTGTATAGTGTTTAACGTAAATCGCTGCTAGGTCTGACTATTCGTAATTATGATTGAGCTCAACAAACTGATGGGCGAATGTTACACGATCAGGTATACTGATTGGTCTCGGTTCATGAGTGTGTGAATGGGTCAATGTGGTTAAGTGACAAAAGCGATTTGTGTGTGTGTCTGTGTTGGGTCAAATGAGTGTGAACACATATGTGGGGCGAACGAGTAGCCATGTTGATGTTTTACTTTAGTTTTACTTTTAGTCGTCTTAAATATCAGGTTACCTAAGCCAGGTTAAACAGAGACCCCAGTCGGAGTCGTGAAAAATCTCTCGGCATTTTGTAGGGTCTTCTGACCAGAGAGACATTTTTCACTCTACCGATAACACTCGTCCACCAATTCGATATGATATACATTTTCTAACTCATCCCGGACTATAGATTCAGGCTTGTAAAATTACGTTAATTGTTTTACCAGGATTCTTTCACTTGATCGGAACTCTGAGTTTGGTTTAACCGTGCTTGAGGCATATGCAATGAGCAGAGGAAAGAGGGATGCAGGCAATGTGATCTCGTGTGCGACAGTGCATAGATCGCGCTCATCAGATGTTTCTTGCTGGTTGGGACCGATCTACACTGCTAACCATGTTTGTGTTCCTAGTGGGACTTGAATACAAAATATGGGGAGGCCATGAATTCCTCTGGAGCGTGACACACATAAGAACACAGCACTCACTTCTTTTTATCCGTAAATTTGCACGCAACGTACCCGAAAAATTTCTAATTATTGCAAACTTGTGCCCAGATGATTATCGAACTTTGATCTAAAAAGTGGGCAATGATTTCAACGGTGTTCACAGTCTTATTGCTTAAGAAGCAGCATGCGGCTGGTATAAGTTGCTTCATAAAACGTGCTCCTATTTTCGGGAATGATCTATTTTTTCCAGTGTTGCATTTTTCTACTACTTTTCAAGTTAGCAAACATGTTCGTCCCTTTGTTCTTCAAAAAGAGCCTATTCCTGCGGGAATGTGAAATTCGACCGTGCTTCATTTGATGCGTCATTGGAACAATTCGTCGCAGGTTTTCTTTCCCACACATAATAGATCGCACATTTTGAACTAATTGTTCTTAGTCTTAAATGACTTAACTAAACTCATTCCATTCGTTCTTCGCATTTTACCTCGTTTCATGGGTATTAAAATTGTCACCAATTGTCGCCATAGAGTTCGCTCAGGATATTTGGGTAACAATCGTTTTACTGTGATCGCGGGGTTCCATTGCATCAAAATGGCACCCGAAGCAATTGATTGAATTATGTGAGTGCGTTGAGCACTGAAGCGGCCAAGTAGGCGAGAATCAAACCAAATTCAATTTCGAACGGTTTAAAGATGTAGAATAATAGCCACAAATCCGTCGATGGCCTTTCAGTGGAAACTGAATCAGTTTGAGGATCACTCCTAGGTCGTATCATGTCTTTTCTCCTCACGATCCATAAGTTTAACACCAGGTGGGACCTAAAACCAGCTTTTCATGCTACTCGCACAGTTATACGAGCTCCTTTGCACAACCCGGTCAACTGTTCGTCTAGTCATGCGCCGTATCTCGCAAAACTGAGAGAGGCTTGCTAGAAAAAAGTTTGGTGCTTATTTGGTAAATATGCATGGGAACAGGTGCCTAAAACCGACAAGCAGATGAATCCACTGGGTAATTGGATGGGACACGATTGATGAGTTTCGACCGATTGTATGTACTTCTTAGGCAGGTCTCACATAGTTCACCTTAACCAGTTCCGAATAAATCAAAGGATTGTAGTTCAGGTCACAAATCCAACTTGAATTGCCCTGAAATATTTCACGTTAGATGATGCTAGCCTTTCGGTTATGGGGATGGATATTGTAAAATATCCAGCAAGGTAGTTGCTCTAGGAACTTTTGATTTTTTTAAACCCTTTGGTTGTTTGAAAAGCGGTATCAATTGGTTGAGCCACCGTTGTTTGCTTACTGTCTAGACTGAGCATCTTGTTCACATTGAGTGCTTGTGCCCGAGGACCAACTTTCGGACGGCCCCGACTGTATCGAGCAACTGGTAAACGTTACCCCTGGAACAACAGTTCAGAAGTATTACCGTATGGTAAATAAAGCCAAGATGAATTATTTGTTTATACGCATAAGTGTACCTGCATTCACCATCACTGGCATGATTTCTGGACGAGGAAACTGTTCAGTGTTGCGTGAGAATCAGACTGGCAAATTGCTGTTGCAAACTGTGCAAATCTGATGAGTAAATATTTACCTAAAAGTTTCTCATCAGCATGAACCTTGAAGACAAAAAAAAAATGTTCCTACTAATTATTTGAAAAGTTGACTCAAGAAGCACTCAATGCTTTCTATCTAGGCCAGATTTTTCACACGAGTAAATCCAATTGAACGACTGGAGAACCAAAATCGATGCGAATGATATGCTGGTTCATTAAAAAAGAAGATTGTTTATCGTTCTCTCGATCAATATCCGACTGAAATGTCTACCCCGTCATTTCACCTGAGACGCAGGAGATCATCTGTTTTTAATCCGACGTTTCTCAAAAGTAGAGGTCATATATATGCAAGAGGTCACAGTCGAAAATAACAAATTGTACTGTAAATATCGAGCACAATTTATGAGCTGCGACCAATCACACTGTTTTCGAACGTCCAAAACATTGGGTAAAACCCAATTTCATTAAAAAATAATATTAGCTGTTTGGGGCGACTCTTTGTCACATGGATTCTGATAGGCGAGACCAAGCCGGGGACATGTGTATCATGTATCTAGACTTGTTAAACCAAACATCTTTAGAATTGCATCCTG